TACTAAATTCGCTCTTAATGAAACAGTTTGAAAACATATAGTAAATAGAGGATCTACTCCACATAACTACATTTAGTTTCATCATGGAGAAGGTGATATCGTAAGATTGCTTACAAAATTAAATAATTTTGTGCAGGTTTCTGATTAGAATTTTGTTAATTGAGAATTGTACTTCTTATTTTATATTACTTATGAATTATATTTAGATTTAGATTTTTATCATATTTTCTTTCAATGTGCCACTGTTTTTATTTTTTTTGTTTAAAAACATAAATTTTCAAAATAAATAGAAAATATAAAACTACATAATTTATACAACACAATTTCATTTAGTCATAATATAAAAGCGAGCTGCTCATATGAGGTTTGGTGTTTCTTTACATAGACAGTGGAAGAAGCATCATTTGCTTCTTCTTCCAGGGAAATCACACCTACCAGGTACCCTTCATTTAAACAAGTAATAGCAAGGTGACACATACCAAGATGATCTTCCAAGCTGCAATTGCTTGAAGTACAAGGAAAAAAACACCTTGAAACACTAAGAATGCTAAGATGACTATCTCCCAGATGATAAAGACTACAACATCCACCCAGCATCAAATCGAAATAGCAGCTTTATTAATAATATGTACCTTGGTAAGTAAAAAATTCAAAAGAGCTTATGATACAATCATAATTATAAAAGATATAAATGAGACTGAAACAATTGAAACAAAAATACCAATTTATTGAGATTGAAAAAATTGAAACAAAAATACAAATTTATTCAAGATTTAATGGGTAGATTTTATAGGTTTCCTTGCAAGATCACTGCTTGTAATCGTAACATCTCATGAAAAACTCAGAAACTAAGCTAAAACCATAAACAGTAGTTCATAGAACCAACAAGTCACCTCCCTATCTTTCGACCATGAAACCGGTTACGATCAACAGCAACCCATGAGGCGATATCAACTTTGTTCACAACACTCTGAAAAAACTCAGACTCATACATGTTACCAAAAAATTTAGAAGATCATGCTGCAATACTTGGAAATCAATGAATTCACTATTGAAAAACTGTTTCCATCAAAATTCAACTCAACCGATATTACAATAGTTTTTCATATCCGCACAAAGTGTGGACCAGTTACCTAGTATATATGTGAATGACTAGTTAAATATTTTTTGCCGTTTAATGTGCACATTATTGGTTAGAAAATTAACGAGAAAAGGAGATGATAGGTAGGTGTGGGCTGGATTCGAAGACAATTGGCGGTCCAGTCTGCTACTTGGCTGAAGTATAACATGATACAAATTTAGTTTGTTTTCTTTCAATATTATGCTTTTAAATTTAAACTTCCGCAGTGAGAACCATTGTGAGATTTTTGCAAAAAAAACAAAAAAAAAAACATTGTGAGATGGAGATGAAATGGAGCTTCATTTTCAATACGATAAAACATCAAGTTTGTCCTGTGTCGTAATTTATATGGAGGAAGCAGGGTATAATAAGAACTTCAAGAGAGATGGTAGTGAGTGATGCGAGGGAAAACAAAAACAGAACCACTTTTGTCATCCCTCAACACCTACATTTGTCTTGCTAGCCAGAAAGAAGATAATACTTGTCCCCACCCTCCCAATCTTTCTATTTTCTATTTATTTTCATTAGCAAATATGCCTTGTTGACAAATTTCATTCATGTCTTCAATAAAAGATATAATAAAAATTTAAATAAAAAGTAGTTGATAAAAAAAATTTTAAATAAAAAGTAAAACTTCAGAGCCATGTCCAAAATAATCTTAGCGTTTGTTAAGAAATGAATTTTTTTTTGCCATCTCCGGAAGATTATGTGTGTATAATATGTAGCCTAATGCATGTAACACTATTTTGGGTTTCCATACAGAAAAGGTAATAACGTTTTTAACGATCAACTATAATGGAATTATAGGAAACCCATATTTTCTTGGTGAACGTAGACTAATTTTTAAGTCTAAAACAATGGACCACCATGAATTTATTAATTAAAATTATTGAAAATCGAAATTCTCATACATAAAACTTTCAAAAATGTGTAGTTGTCTTAAAATAAAGATTATAAAAACTGAAAAACGTGTTAGAAAATTATTAAACTAAGACTTAATAAATATATAGGTGGACCATTTATGAATACAACTCTCATAATTGTGGAGATGACATTATGTATGACCATCGTGATAACCTTAAAAGAAATACTAACATTTACGGATATTCCAATAAATAATTAATTTATTATCATATATTCCCATAAATGGCTAAACCCTAACTTGTCGCCGGGATTTCGTTTTAATATAATCCTGCTCACTAAAAGACTCGAAGCAAAAGAACAGTAGTGAGAGAAAGTAAGAGAGAGATGAGACTCTGTGGTTGACAAACTCTTTTGCTCTCATATAGAAAGATAACATATTTTCTTTTCTCTTTTCTTTTCAGTGGAGAGTTTTTTAATATTTAGAAAAAGAGAGTTTGTCTGAAGAAAGCTAAAGAGTTTAAAGACCTTAATGGTTTGTGTCTTTGGAGAATCCTAAAGGTTATGAAGTGAGAGAGAGATATAGAAAAAAAAAAGAGAAAGAGAGAGAGAGAGAGAGAGTAGAGACATGGTGGGCTCAGGAAGTGTAGGAGGAGATAGAAGCAAAGATGCTGTAGGGATGATGGCACTACACGAAGCACTTAGAAGCGTCTGTCTTAACTCAGACTGGATTTACTCTGTTTTCTGGACCATTCGTCCCCGACCGTACACACACATCTCTTTCTCTTTCTGTTCATAAATCTTTCTCTATCTATGTTTCTTTATCTTTTGTTGTTCCTCTTTCTGATTACAGGAGGGTCCGTGGTGGTAACGGATGCAAGATTGGTGATGAAAGTGGCAGTTTGTGAGTTTTTTTTTTGTCTTTTTCTAGCTTACTTTAGACAGAAAACAGAGCAGCTCTGTTTCGACTCAAGATCTCTTTCTGAAACACTCTGTTTCTTTTGTATGATTTTAATATTAAAGGATGTTGATGTGGGAAGATGGGTTTTGTGGAGGAGGAGGAGGGAGGAGTGAAGATCTTTGTCTGGAACCAGACATTGAAGGTGAAGATCTTGTCAGAAAAGCTTTCAGCAAGATGTCCATTCAGTTATATAATTATGGAGAAGGGTGGGTGCTGGGTAGGTGGTTATATAAATAATTATGGAAGAAAATAATTAGATTATATAAACACACCCTAATCACTTCATAATTAGCAAACTTTTTTGATTAATATTATGTAATTATATAACACACGAGTTTTATTATCTTGTGAATCTTTAATATGATATCTGCAGATTGATGGGTAAAGTTGCTTCTGATAAATGTCACAAATGGGTATTCAAAGAACCATCTGAATCTGAACCCAATCTTGCTAATTACTGGCAGAGTTCTTTTGATGCTGTAAGTTTTTCTTAATCTTCCACAGATCTTTAAATCTTTATTTATTTATTTTGGTTATATGAGCAGTTTATGATCTTAATGGTTAAACCTTAACACTTTAGCTTTTGGTTGTTCAAAAATTTATTGCAGCTTCCTCCAGAATGGACTGACCAATTTGAATCAGGCATACAGGTCAACAGTCAAACATCCTTTTTTACATGTTTTTTTTATAGTTTTTGCAAACTTTGATTACTGTTCTTGATCTTACATTAACACTGTTTTAATTGACCAGACAATTGCCGTGATTCAAGCTGGACATGGTTTGTTACAGCTAGGTTCTTGCAAGATTGTGAGTTTTTATATCTTACAGTTTCAAATTTAGCTTTTTGATGGCTATACAGTGTTATGAATAACTGTTTTACTCACTCCAGATTCCAGAAGATCTTCATTTTGTGCTGAGGATGAGGCAAATGTTTGAATCAATTGGTTATCGATCCGGTTTCTACATTTCTCAGCTCTTCTCTTCAAACCGAACCGGTGTGACTCCATCCTCATCCTTGGTTCCAAACCAGCAACCTCAGTCTCAGTCTCAGGCTTTTAATTGGGGATCACACTCTCCATTGTTACCTTCCCCTGGTTTTCAGAACCAAACACTACCTGCATCAACAAGATTTGGTTTCCTTCAAGAAAGCAATGCTCCTCCTTCTCCTCCTCAAATGCTTCCTCCAATGGAAGAACATGAAGAAGACATCAAATGGCCCAATGGTTTATCTTTGTTCAATGCCTTGACTGGCCGTGCAGACGAAGCTAGTAGACTTCTGTTTAACCACGAGCAGAACCCGATGAATACTGAAAACCCGAATGAGTTCTTGAGCCTTGAAAGTCATCCTAGCAAGTTTAGAAGAAGCTATACATTACCAGCAAGAATGGACTCTTCCTCATCATCAACCTCGCTTGATCAGCAACCACTAGAGTTCAGGAACAATTCCGGAAGCAATGCAGGAATGTTCCCTGACGTTATGGAGACGTTCTTGAGGTGATTTGACAAGTTCAAGATTTTAGCTTAATCTGTTTAAGACTCTCCCTTGTTCCTTTCTTACATCTCCCTCGTTGTTGTTGTTGCTGTTGTAACATATTTGTGTTATTGTATTTGCTTTTATGTCAAAACTCTTTAAAGTTTCTAAGTATTTCGGATAAAAAGTACTTTAATAATTTAGGTTTTTTTTTGAATATTTTGGTTTATAAATAATATCTTAAAATTATTTGATTATCTTAAAACTAAATATAATTAATATTTATACATATATAAACTATATTATAAAATATCAGGTATCCATTCCATTCTGGTTAGGTTTAAGTTTTTTCGGTTTTAGAAATATACCTCTATAATATCTATTAAAAATAAAAGATAGGATACAAACCCAAATCGAACCTTGTTTTCTGGTTTAATTTTTTCGATTCCAGATAACTGTGACCAGACATACAGTAGTTGGATCAACAAAAGTTCATAACTTTACATGTATACCTCAAAGCTTCTCTAACCAAAACCAGTGATCTTACATTAAATATAAAGAACTAACAAAAGATCCTTACTAAAGGATTAACACTGTTGTTTAACAGAATCTACTGGAATATCTTCAAGCCAAGCAACAACCTCTTCAATCAACGGTCTCCTTCTAGGGTCATGATCAATGCATTTGCATGCAATCTCCAACATCTCCAAAACCTCTTTCTCCTCCACATCTCCTCGTATCGTTGCATCAATAAGCTCAGCTTCACGCTTCTCAGCCTTCATCTGAAACACCCTAGACACCAAATCTCTACAGCTCTTCCCTTTACACACTTCCACTGGTCTACGACCCGTAACAAGCTCCAAAAGCACTACACCGAAACTGTAAACGTCTCCTCTACACGTTGCTATCAAAGACTGGCTATACTCTGGAGGTATATAACCTAATGTCCCCACCAAATCAGTTGTCACGTGAGTATCGTAAGGCCTAAGCAATCTAGCTAACCCGAAATCCGCAAGATGAGCTTCAAAATTGTCGTCTAAGAGAATGTTGGAAGACTTCACATCTCTGTGGATAACATTAGGTTCAGAGTCTTTATGCAAGTAAGCAAGCCCACGCGCCGCTCCTAGAGCTATCTTCAACCTCACGTCCCATTTGAGAGAGGTATTCACATCTACACGCTCGTGGAGCCAATAGTCCAAGCTCCCATTCTCCATAAAGGAGTAGATAAGTAACCTATCGCTCCCGTGCTTGCAGTAGCCTTGAAGAGAGACGAGATTCTTGTGTTCTGCTCGTGACAATGCTTCAACTTCTGCTTGGAACTCACGTTCCATCTGACCACAGTCACCAGAAAGCCTCTTCACCGCTGCTTTTGAGCCATCAGGTAGATTGGCCTTGTAGACAAGACCAAACCCTCCGCATCCTATGATGTTGGCTTGACTGAAACTGTTTGTAGACTTGAGCAGATCCGCTACACTCAGGTCTTTGCATCCACAGCTGTGGAATAGCACAATCTTTGACGACATGGGAGCTTTATGAACCTCGCTGATCATCTCTTCATCAACGTCATTGACACGATCATCAGCTTCTTTTCTTGAGATTCTTAGTAGAATGACTGAGAGAAGAAGAGTGATCCCCACGGCGAGGCTTATGGTAAGTACAACAATACTGCTTCTCCCAAACTTTCTGTTACTACGAGAAGAGCCTTTAGGTGTCAAGATATTACTCATCATAACATCGCAAGGAGAGTCAATGGCGCGACAGAGTCCTAAGTTTCCTTCAAAGCTTGAGTGAGGGAAGCTGTAGAACTGCCCACCTGATGGTATAGCGCCGGTGAGACGGTTATAAGCAACGCTGAACCTCGACAAGAAAGTGAGGCTTTGAAAAGACAGAGGAATTGAACCGTGGAGATGATTGTAAGACAAGTCAAGAAGCTCCAGGTTATCAAGACCAGAGATGGTGTCAGGTATTGTCCCGGTGAAGTTGTTCCTGCTCAAATCCAGCATGTGAAGCTCCTTCAACCGTCCTATCTCAGACAAGATCGTCCCGTTGAGTCTATTATTGTTTAAATAGATAGATGGAGGGAATCTTGAGACTTGGTTATAAGGAAGACCGTGAGTGCTCTTGTTTCTCTTTACGTAGAGAGGTATCCCTGAAGAGTCTATCATTTGAGAGTCAGTGCAGTTTAGATGGATCAGGCTCTTGAGCTCGGTTAAGGCTACAGGGATCTCTCCGGTTAACGTGTTGTTAGAGAAGTCTATGTAGAAAAGACTCTCCATCTGACCAATCCAGTTAGGGATAGTTCCGTAGAAGTGGTTCCAAGAAAGATCAAGAACTTGCAGCTTCTTGCAACTCAAAAGCCAGCTCGGAATGTCACCTCTAAGACCGCAGTTTCCGAGAGATAAGATGGTGAGGTTGTTGAAGCCAGTGACATCTCTTGGCACTTCCTCCTGCATGAAGTTCTTTGAGAGGATAAGCGTGGAGAGGTTTCTGCAATGCTGCAGCACATTCATAGCCTCTGACAAATCCACAAAGCTGTTGTTGGATAAGGACAGAAACAAAAGAGACTTCAGGTTCTTGAACGTGTCAGGGATCTTGCCGGTGAACTCGTTTTTCGCCAAACTCAAGATCTTCATCTTGGGACAATGGCCAAGAGAGTCAGGAAGATGTCCGGAGAAATGATTACTGGCAAGATCAAGAACGCAGAGAATTTGCAATCCAGTGAAGTTAAGATCAACAGAACCGGTTAACGAGTTGTTCCTAAGATCAAGAACCATAAGTTTCGAGCATTGAGATAAGCTTGTAGGAAACTTTCCTGAAAACTTGTTGGAGCTAACATCAAGGTGCTCAAGGTGAGTGAGATTACCAAACACATTTGGTATCACACCAGAGAACCGGTTCTCTGATATCAAGAAAGACTTGAGAGCGGTGAGGTTACTCAGCTTCTCGCTTAACTCTCCGGTTAAGTAGTTTCTAGAGACTGATAGCTGAGTAGATTTGCTGCAGTTGTACAATCCATCAAGATTCCCCACCAAACGATTCACCGATAAATCAAGAACCTGAAGCTCACCAGATGTAGTACATAGCTGAGGATGAATCTCACCTTCCAACAAGTTGTTGCTTACGTTAAGCATCACAAGACGAGGAAACACTCCAAGTTTGGATAGATTCCCTGTCAGCATATTATGGCTCAAGTCAAGAACTTGAAGCTGCTGCAACTTGGAGATCTCTGAAGGTAGTTCGCCTCTCAGGTGATTATGAGAGAGATCAAGTAACCTCAGCTCACTCAACTCTCCTAAAGAACCAGAAACCACACCTTCCAAACCCTTTTCAGACAGAACCAGCTTTGTAACTCGACCAGAAACATCACAAACAACACCACCCCACTCACAACAACTTGAATGATTAAACAAAGATTCAGTAACAGACCTGTTCTTCAACGCTCCTGCGAACTCCCTGAGCGCAGATAAGTCGGTAGGATGACATGTGAGTGTAGGTTGGCTCAGAGATGAACCAAGAAAGAAGACCACCAATAGGAAAATGATCACCATGACTAAACCCAACAGAGACAAGAGTCTTCTCCAGAGTTTTTGCTTTTTTAAGTCTCAAATAAAGACTTAAGGGCTCCTGAAGAAGAAGATTCACACAGTCACATGCTCATGTCCCAAAAAGAGTAGAGCAGAGCTTCCACAACTTGTGATTGAAGCAACATTGTGAAAGCGAATTGAGAACAGCAAAACGTATCTTCCTGAAACCGAATCCCAATAAAGAGTATTATGAAATCAAAGCAGAAGAAAACTAAACTTGTAACTAAGACTGCTCACATCCCAAGTCTTATTCAAGACTTGTAACTTAAGCAAAACACACAACCAAAGAAATAAACTTCGAAAACTTTTTTTAAAAAAGTCAAAAGAGTAAAGTAATACCGTTAAGCAGTTTGGCAAACAAAAACCCCTAAATTGCAAAGCTAAGACCTTTCGAGTTCACAACCACCATTGAGACACTGAATGATCTTAAACGAAGACATTTTGTTGGAGTGGTTTGTAGTTTCTGAAAGTGCAGGTCTTTTTCGTGGTGAGACAGGAACAGTCTTAAAAAGGTGAAAACAGAGAGAGAGAGAGAGAGAGAGTAGTTGAGGGGTTTCAAATTTTTGTCAATGTTTTAATCTCGAAATTGATTGGAGAAGACGATAGAAGAAGATGTATTGAGAGAAGAGAAGGAGAGTTGTTTCGTTTTCTCAACAACAGTGAGAGTTGCTATTAGCTTTTGTCCGTGACAGGTCTTGTCTCAAAAGTCTTGTGTGCACTTTCTTTACAAAATAAATTTAGTCCTTCAATTAAAATTACTTTTATTTAATTTCTGTGGACAAAATCCTGCACAACTATTTATTACATCTCACAAGTTTTTATATTCTATAAATAATAAACACTCGCAGTTTTGATTATATATTCAATATGTAGCTTTTTAAAAACATTTATATAAATATATATATATATCGGTAATCTGGTCGGTCTTTGGAGAAAACAGGGTTAGTGCTAAATGGCGAGAGACCTAAATTTATACTAACCACACTGAAACAATGAAACAATGATAATTTAGTTAATCTTGAGAATCAAATCCAGGATCGACCGATGTGTATTTTAACCTTTTAGTTATTTTGTTCAGAGAAATGTTATTTTAATTTACCTTCGTTGAGTAAAATCTAAAAACATAAGTTTCTCGAAACTATCATAAGCATATGCAGACAAAATATTGTCGCTTGTTACAAATCGTAGATATGTTTTGGACAAATTAGTGGGAAACAAACTAAATTTTTAGTTGGAACAAAGTCAACAAAAGTGTATTGTTAGGTCGAAACTTTTCTTACAGGCTTTCGTTTTCTTCTATAGTTTGTCGCATTAAGGAAAATAATAGACAACAGATTAATAATTTCTAATTGATCCGATTATCTATTTATGAAGCTAATAGTAATATAATACTCGTATTGTGTAGACAAATTGATTTATGCCTAAACAAAACGTAGAAATGTAAGTATTGTTATCTGTAAGAACATATTTATCAACGATGAATTCGTCTTATGATTAATTTTCTTGTAAGGTTTTTCGGTGGTCATAGATTTTATTCATATTAGATGGAGTTTTCTTTCTTACAAATAATTCGATGACATGATCTGAGTTTCGCTTTGGGAGATAAAGATTCATGAGAGACTGAGAGTAAAAAGCTTTTAGTCATTAAAATATCAGTAAAATGTTTTATCATGAAATAGTTTCTAAAAAATTTAATAACTAAAATATGTTTTATTAAAAATTAAAAAGTTATATATAATACTCATAAGGTTAATAATTAATGTAAACCTAGATTTAAATTTTAAGGGGGAGGAAAGGATGAGATTTAGGGTTTAATGTCTCGAATATAAAATTTAGGATAGAAACATAAATTTTTTTAAATACTTTTCAAAAATAAAAGTGATTTTTTTAATAAAAATATTTACTTATCTATATATAGAGTAGAGATGTTATTGTCATTTCAACTCTTTAATATTTTGGTCGTTTTTTATTTTATATGTGTTATTTTGGTAATAATTTTTTTAATCTTATTAAAAGATTTGCCATAAGAAAATCTAAACATATTTAATTTAATCAACAAAAAATATAACAATTGTTTCATTGACATAAACAGTAATTGAACCTCCCGTGAAGGTCGTGACGGATCATGGCTATTCACGGCGCACGTGGCCCGAAGAGAGTGACGTTCCTTTGAACCTTGTGGATTCAGTTTGGACTTTCAGGCCGGACGTCACGGGTCCGATGCCGTGAAAGAGGTGGAACCGTTGAGGTTCTTGGAAAAGGCCACACGCACGGGTCCCACGTGACTTACCCATTTTTGCATTAATGATGTTTTTGGCTTTTATAAAAATCTCTATCCTTTTTTTTTTTGGTTTTTAAAATCTTTGTTTATCAGTAGATATCTTTTTTTATTTTTGAACACCTATCAATATAGAACAAATTTTATGGTCTCGAAAAAGTGCCTTGTATCTCAATGTATATGTACTTGATTGATGATGTGCCCACGAATCTGTATTGCTTTGTGTTTAATTACACTATATTTTGTAGACAAACATCGAATTTTGATACAACCATGCAATGCAAAGTGCTAACCGTAAGAATAATAGATGAAGAATATATTATGAGGAAATTAGGAATCCTGATTGTAATTATATTATATGTTGAAGTAATTAACCTAGTGGCCTCGTGTAAACTATGAAGTTAGTTCTGATAATTTGTGAGTCTATGAAGTGATACAACCGATTTTTTTACTACAAATATTGTATGAATAAAGTAAGGAGGGTTCATTTTACATTCATATAATATTCATGTGAATTAAGTAATGTTTGGGGGCATCGAGAGTGGAGTGATGTCTTTTGATAATGTATTGTATAGTCAACTGCTCACACACCGCAAATCACGTGAAGTCCTCGAATCGTACACCTATCGGCCTCTTAACTTTGTTTGTTTTTCAAGTTTTCTCTACGATCGAACCTCGAATATATCGCACCTCACTCACTATTTTTTGTATTACTGTATGTTACATTAGTTTTTGTCACCCTTCTTTGTCATCCTCTTCATACTATTTTGCCTGGTGCACTGAACTAGTATATATAAGTATTACAAAGACTTTAGAGAGCTACACAACTATAAACAGAATTAGTAGTGTGTCGGCGCTATGCGCCGAATTCATATATGTTATTATAAAAGAAGTTGCGATTTATTTTGTGGCCTTAGTGAAGAGATTATGTTCAGAAAATTGATGTTATAACTATGTTGAAGACAATGATCTTTTCTGATTATTAGTAGAGTAGTATAAGTGGTTATTATTAATCGAAACAAATATAAGTAAAGTAAAAAATTGATAGCCTTTACAAAGTTAATTTAGTAAATACTTAAACATAAAATAAAGTTCATGTCTGTGAATGAAAAATGTAAATAGTTGTGTTTGTTTTGTGATTATATTGTTTCAATTAAGATAATATATAATTTCGTCCTATTAAAATAGTAACAATCCTAGACTAATCGTTTATATCTTATACACAAAATAGTAACAATCCTAGACTGATCGTTTATATCTTAAACGCCACCATTCTCGTGACCGTTAAGATCAAGTTCCGTGAGCATAGGTAGATAATCAGAGATACAAAAGGCGAACGTAAATCCTAGTGCTTCAAACATAGCTTCCATATGCTCAATATCCTCTGCCATTGGTCCACTGTCAGGTGCGGTGTTTTCAGAGAACGTTCTTGTCCCGAATAAGTTTCTTGATAGCATTGCCGCAGTAGTGTATCAAAGAAATCTGATCGGATACCCAAAGTACTTGAACCTCTTAATCTTATTCCAGCAGCGATCAGATTTTGATAGTGTGTGTTCCCAGTCAAGGATATCAAATAAATATTTTCCTTCTTTGAGGTTTCCTCTGCACAACATTAATAGACCACAAAGATACGTACCCTTATCATATTATCCATAAGCAGATTGACACATGTGAGGTGATTGAGTGCTTTGATTGATTTGTGGTGGAAGAAGTACTGACATATTCCCTCACTATTAAGATGAGCTTCATCTGATAGGTGTCCGATATGGGGGGGGCTGGTTTGCATGGTAGATATTGCTCTTGTAGCCAAGGCTGTCATGGTTCAGATACTGGAAGAACAAAGATTAAAGAATAGGAATAAGTACATAAATTTGTTTACAAAAGAGTAAGTTATCAAAGTCATAAAGAATAAGTTTGCGTCTCCGTTGGACCAAATTTTTTTTAAGACTTCTTTTGGTTACAGGTGATGGTGATGCGGTGGAGTATTCAGAAACACTACGATTTTTTGGAGATCTCCCTGTGGTTGTTTTGCCATTAAATTCAATTGGCGTCTTCACCATTATTTCTGAAAATCGCAATGGTTGAGTAATCAAGAAACACGAGGTTGCATCAGAACTGTGTAGTGAAAGAATGTAGGAGATACGTAACTACTGGCTTTTGCAATTACACTGCATTTACAGTGTGAGCTAATCATTCAGTTGGGAGGCGTGTAGGCACCCGACAACGATAAGCTTTAATTTGTAAGGTTATAGCTTCTTAAATCTAATTTTTTTTGTTAATTTTTAGCAGTTTGTTATTTATAAACTTGCCTTCTAAGCGTATAGGATGTGTCAATATAGGTTATATAAGCTCTGAAATGTGTCTAATCTTTTATGATGTGTGCAAGTGTTCATAATTTTCTGTAATGGTAACTTCTAAATTTTATTATTTTGTGTTAATTATTATCAGTTTGTTACTTATAAATTTCCCATCTAAAACCTTGTATATGTGGCAATCATTTTTTTCTGAACAAATTCTTATATGTGTGGCAATCATAAACCAAAGTGATATAAACTCTGACCTTTGTTTAAACAAAGTGATATAAGCTCTGCTCTTTGTTTATTCTTTTAGAAATTGTGTAAGTGTTCATTAGCTCTCTAGTTTGTCTAATCTTATATTAGTTATGAAACTGTTCATAATTTTCCATGAAGATATGTGGCAATCATTTTTTTTGAACATATTCTTACATATGTGGCAATCATATAACTAAAGTGATATAAGCTCCGACCTTTGTTTAAATAAAGTGATATGAGCTCAGCCAGGGACGGATGTAGGACATTAATCAGACGGGGACACAATGACTTTTTCCATTATGATAAATTTTGGAGTTGGAAACATTATAGTAATTAGTGAAGAAAAACCAAAAAACAGTTGGGGTCACGTGACCCCGTAACTGTGGCTCTGCGTCCGCCCCTGAGCTCAGCTCTTTATTTATTCTTTTAGAAGTTGTGTAAGTGTTCATTAGCTCTGTAGTTTGTCTAATCTTATATGAGTTATGAAAATGTTCATAATTTTCTATGATGGTATCTTCATAATTCGATTAAGTTGTGTTAATTATTATCATTTGTTACTTTAAATTCTGT